GCGAGGTGGGCAAAGTGCTCTGGTTTTTGGGCTGGACTTGATCCTCTTGCTGTGGAGAGAGCGCAGAGCAGCATTAGGGTGGACCTGGAGAACACTTACCCCCCTGCAGGGCTGGGATGTCCCCAGACAGCGTGAGGGGCAGAAACATCCTCAGGAGGGGGGAAACTGAGGGACAGCCTGGCCCTGTGGCTTGGCTCAAGGTTTGTGCTACAGTTATGGTTTTCCCTGCGGAAAGTGAGGGATGAAGCAGCAGGCTCGGAGAAGTGGGCCGGGGTAGGCAAATGCCTGGGTACGGAAAATGATGGCTACAATGTAGGTTCGTCTCTGTCCAGGCAGAAACATCCCTGGGGGTTTGTTGTTGATGAAAAAATGGGACTGATGGGCTGGGGAGGGGAAGGTAGACCCTTGCAAAAGATCAGAGGAAGGGAGAATGTATGTTTTGGCTGATGCAAGAGGCCTCCCCACACGGCACCACACAGGGATGAAACACTGATATCTCACCAGGTTGTTCTCCAAGGCCACCTCGACCACAGGGACAGGTTGGGATTCAGTATCTGCAATGGAGAGAGCAGGGTTGAGATCCTGAATTGGAGCCTCCAGACTTCCCACCCGGCCCTGGCAGCAGCCAAGCTGGGAAAAACCTGCCTGACAGCTGCAACAAGGAAAGGGCAGCTCTGGTCTCTCTTCCCTTTCCCAGTCCTTTGGTCTGGGATGGCCCAAGGATTTAGGAGACTCTGGTAAGCCAAAAATCATCATCACCAGAGCCTGTTAGACTGGAGGGAGACCAGAAAGGGGCTCTGGCCATATAAGCAAAGGAGCAAATCTTGGCCCCAGTAGAAATAAGGACCCACAGGAATGGATCCGGGCTCCTTCTGCTGCAGGGAGCAGAAGAAGTGGAAGAAGAATAGAAGTTGTGGATGTTCTATCTCTTGAACTGTTCAAGGTCAGGTTGGACAGGGCTTGGAGCGACCTGGTCAAGTGGAAGGTGTCCCTGCCTATGGCAGGGGGTGGAATGAGATGGGCTTTAAGGTCCTTTCCAACCAAAACCATTCCATGATTATCTGATCCCCACGGCAAGTCCTCACCTGGGTGCCCTGTGACGCGCTCCACCAGCGCCTGCAGCCTGACCCTGCACTCGGATAAGTCCCCGGGCTGCCCTCGGTCCATGGCCTCTGGCAGCTTCAGCCGCTGGAGCTCCTGCAGCGAGCCCTTGATGAAGGGCTGCATGTCCATCACCTCCTGCTCCGTGGCGTACAGGCTCATCTTCTCCACCAGCCTCTCGCCCGCCTCCATCCGCCGCAGCACCCCCTCCACGTGCCGCAGCTCCCGCGCCAGCTCCCGACGGCCCTGCTCCTGCCGCGCCTCCACCAGCCCCAACAGCTCCTCTTCCTCCTGACGGATCAGCCGCACCAGCTGCTCCACGCGCTGACGGATCAGCTCCCGCATCTCCCGCTGCGCCTCCTCCAGCCGGGCGGCCTCGCCCTGCAGGGACGCGTAGGTGGCCTCAAAGCCGCTCCGGCGACGCCGCAGCTCCCGCTCCATGGAGCTCAGCTCCTCCTGCCTGCGCTGGGTCTCGCTGCAGATGTCGCTGAACTGCGAGTGCTGGTTGTCCAGCAGCGCGCACGAGCAGCACAGCGCCTTCTCACACTGCTGGCAGTAGATGCTGGCAGGGGACAGGAGCGCCCTTCAGAGCCGGCACACCATTGGGGCGGCAAAAGCAGCTCTGCTGCCCTGGGCACCATTGCCCCTGCCCGAGGGACAGTGCCAGGGAAACTGAGGCACGGGGACTTTGCCTCACTGCACCAGCTGCAGGGGTGGCCGTCAGCCTGGGCCTTCAACCCTCCCTTGCTGCCCTCCCTCCTCCCGGGCTCCTGACAAACCCATAGCACACACACTCATGGAATGGCATCTCCTGAGCTGGAAGGGACCCACAAGGATCATCAAAGTGCAACTCCAGGCCCTGTACAGGACATCTCAACAATCCCACCATGTGCCTGAGAGCATTGTCCAAGCGCCCCTTGAGCTGTGGCAGCCTTGGGGCCGTGACCACTGCCCTGGGGAGCCTGTTCCAATGCTCCACCACCCTCTGGAGGCAGGTTCTTTTCCTAATATCCAACCTAAACCTCCGCTAACACAGCTCCATGTGATTCCCCCCAACCCTCTCACAACTTGCTCCTGCCTGGGGTCTCACCAGGGTTGCAGCTTTTCCTCTCCAAAGGCAGGTGATGAAACCCCTTTGGCAGGGTTGCTCCTGGAGCAGCAGCCCCAAAGCCCTTGGAACAGGATAGGATGCAGGAACAAGGCACCACTCTCACCTGCAGACGCGGCTCTGGTCGGGGTGACTGGAACTGGTGCAAAAAAGGTTGCAAGACTTCCTGGTGTCTTCCAGGAATTGATGGGCTGACTCAGCACGCAGCTCCTCCACCTTCTTGACTTTGTGACTCTTCTTCTTGTGCCACCACTGGTGGTCCTCAAAGCACTTGGCACAGAAGAACTCCTCGCACTCACAGCACCACACCAGCGCCGCTTCACCCCGGCACCGGCTGCAACTGGGACCACCAGGGCTGGTGATCTGCTTGTAGACCCTCAGCCGGGCCTGCAGGTTGGTGAAGAGCAGGTTGTCCATGTCCGGGATTCCGTTGGCCTGCGGGATGGCCGTGCAGCACACAGGGCACTGCCCGACCGGCTTGTTCTCACTCAGGCAACCCAGGCACAAGGTGTGGAGGCAGGTGAGGAGCTTGAGGTTGGGCGATTCCTGCCGGCAGCCCTCGCAAAGGAGGAACTGGAAGTCATCTTCCACTGCCGGAGGGTGGGATGGAGGGGAGCACACAGGTGTATCCGGCTGGGGTCTTGTCTCCATGGGAGCAGTGGCACCGTCTCCATCTAGGTGGGATGTGGAGAAAAAACCCTCATGAGATGGAAGTTTGAGAGGCTCAGTCCCACCTGCGGGCATCCCACTCCACCCAACCACTGCAGGGGAGGGATGAGGGAGCCGCAGGGTGTGCTTGAGGCTCCTCTCCATCCCTCCTGCCGAGGGCGAGCGGGTGGCAGCACTCCAGGTGCTCTCCCGGGGAGATTCTCTGCTGGATGCAAAGGGTTGTGCTCCCGCCTACCCTCTGTGTGGGAGGCTCTTGGAGGCTCTCCTCCACCCTCCCCAACCGCCTTCCCTTTCAGGACTTTCGGATTTCAAGACTGGGGGTGGGGACAAACGATTTTCGTTTTGCTGCTACCGCCTTTTCCTGCTCTGCAAGCGGGAAAAGCAACGGAGGCAAAAGGGGGGACCCTGGGAACGGTCCCCAAAGTTTCCTGCGAAACCTCCCAGGCAGCACTGGGATGTTGTCATAAGCTCTATCCCCAAAGGTGTCCCCTTCCCCACTCCTCGTGCTCCCAGCCCTCCCCCAGGCCGGCAGGGTAGAAACCCCCCCGCCAACAAAGCCAGTACCCCACTTATCACCTCCCCCCTGCAACGGTTTTGTACCCTCAAAACTAATACACACACGCACCCTTCCAAGTAGGCAATGCCCGCAGGTCCCTTTCGGAGACTCTGGATCGGGCTTTGCCCTCCTCCCCATCCCGCCTCCCTCTCCAGGAAAGCGGGGAGCCCCTCGTTACCTGCTGGGGGGCCGGGGCCGGGCGGCCGGGGCGCGACGGGATTGTCGGGCATGTGAGCGGCGAGAGGGGACAGCCGTCCCAGTCCACTTTCGTTTCCTCAGCCTGGCTGGAAAGGAAGGAGGAGGAGCTGGTGGGAAAAAGGCGGGGAAGGCACGGGGTGGGGGGGGGGCGGCCCGGGCCGGGAGGGACCGAGGGAGCCGGCGGGTGGGAAAGGAATGAGATGGGGGTTCCCCGCTCCCACCCTCTGCCTGCCCTCTGCCTGGGGGTACCGGTGGAAAATCCGAGGGAGGCGGAAATGCAGGGAAGGGGGGGGGATGTTGGTACTGGAGCAGAATATTGGCACCGGGAGGGAGGGCAAGCCGGCACCGGGGGTACGCTGGTACCGGGGTGGGGATGCTGGTACCGGGGTGGGGATGCTGGTACCGGGAGGATGTTGGCACCAGGGGGATGCTGGCTCCGAGAGGGGTTCGGATGGCAAAGCTCTGCTCCAGCTGTTAGGTAGGACCCCCGAGCTGTGCTGTCTGGTGTTGTCTCGGCTGCAAGAGCTGCTACTCTCTCTGGGGCATTTTCAGGCTCCCACTTCAGCCGAGGGGGGGCTTTAAACCCTCACTATTGTCATGCCCTATCCTCGGCAGCGCCGCTCTTGGATCTCCACTACCCTTTGAGCCGGCGAGAGGGAGAGTGGGGGGCTTCGGCATGGCGGGAAGGCCACGCCGGAGCAGCAATTCCTGGGAAAACTACCTTTCCCGCTTTCCTGTTCCCGTGGGGTCGGGGTACCCTGCGGAGCCCCCCATGGTGTGGATGTGTGATGGAGACCCCCGTCTTCCCCGTGGCCGGCGGAGCGTTTCCCTGGCAGGGCCTCTCCGGAACAACTCACCGAGCCGTGAGCCATGAGCCGTGTCGTCCCTGTGCCGTCAGCAGCCACATGACGAGCGGACCAGGAAGCGATAGCGGCTCCCTCCTTCCTCCCCTCAGCATCCTCGGCGCGGCCTCCGCTCCCCGCGGCCACGGGGCTGGCGGCCGAGGACGCCCCGGGGTCACCCCCAGCTCCGAGGGGGTGCGAAGTGAGGAGTGACCGCGGGGCCGCAGCTTTTGTCTCCCAGCTCGGCTCCTGCCCAGAGGAAGGAGCCCAGAGGGTCTCCGGGAGGATGTGAAGCCTCCAGCACCTCAGCTGGGGTGAGACTCCGGCCAGGGAAGCCCCTGAAGGATTGGATTTCTTCCAGCAAATGTCCTCCCGTAATGTGACTACAGCAGGGCTTGTCAGCTGCATCTCTCACGGCAGGGAGACGGTGACAGGGACGGAGGTGGCCGCGATGGCAGCAGGGAGCCAGGATTAGAGGAGCACCTTGGAGCACCGGGAGCAAGGCCCTGTGTGAGGCACCAGCACCATGTTCAGCCGGTCGGGATACCAAGCCCTTCCCTTGGGAGACTTTGACCGCTTCCAGCAGTCCAGCATCGGGTTCTACGGTGCCCAGAAGGGCTTTTTCTGCTTCAGAGACAAGCAAGACCCACTGGGATCGGCTGGGAATGCCATAGGTGAGCCCCAAGCCCCTGGGATGGCTGGGAATACCTCAGGTGACTCCCACACCTAGAGGGGAGTTTTTGCCTCCCTCCCTATTGCCCCCAGTGCTGTAGGGTGTGGCACTGGCTGGGTGTCCCCCACACTGCTGGCTGCCCTGGCTGCAGGGTGCATGGAGGGGAGAGGCTTGGGTGAGGGTTCATGGGCAGGGCAGGGGGGTTTGGAGAAGGTAAATCCCCCTTTCACCCTCCTTGCAGACACTTCCCAGGGTTGGCTGTCCTGGATCTGCCATGGGATTATCACCTCCTTGGTTTTCTTGCTGATGGTTGTCACCTTCCCCATCTCAGGGTGGTTTGCCTTGAAGGTAAGTGAGGAAAGCAGGTGAGGAGTGGCATGACAACCAACCTCCATAAGGGGACAGTTACAAGCTGCCCCTGGTCCTGGCATTGCAGGATCCAGGGTTTTGCTCCTGCCCTGGTCTAAACTTTCCCGTTCCAGGTTGTGCCCACCTACGAGCGAATGATCATCTTCCGCCTGGGCCGCATCCAGGCACCGCAGGGACCTGGCGTGGTCCTGTTGCTGCCCTTCATCGACCACTGGCAGCGGGTGGATCTGAGGACGAGGGCCTTCAACGTGCCCCCCTGCAAGGTGACTGCCGACCCTCAGGGTGGGATGGAGAAATAGCTCTCAAATTCCCAGAGCCGGTGGATTTTGGGATGGTCTGACCCTTGGTGACCCAGCTTTCAGCTCCTCCTGGCAAGGCCAGGGACATTGTAGCTGCTGCTGTGTAGTCAGAGTCCTCACCTGCCTGAGGTCAAAAAGCTCCTCTCGCCTTGTTCAGAGGGTGTTCCTGGCTGGAGACATCCCAAAACCTACCCTTCCCAGATGTCTTTAAATAGCAGCCCATACCAGAAACTGTCCTCACCATCCAAGCTAGCCGAAAATTAATTATTTGGATTGGTTTTGTTTCCAATAATCCTCTTAATAAAGACATCTGGGAGTGCCTTTGCTCCCAGGATCTACACACAAGGGCCATGGGGTGGAGAGGGGAAAGAGATCCTGACTCCTTTCTGCCCCAGGTGACCTCCAAGGATGGGGCAATCATCTCCATGGGTGCCGATGTCCAGTTCCGGGTGTGGGACCCTGTGTTGTCCGTCATGATGGTGAAGGACCTCATTGCAGCCACCCGGATGACAGCACAGAACGCCATGACCAAGACCTTGATGAAGAAGAGCCTCCGTGAGATCCAGGTGGAGAAGCTGAGGATCGGGGAGCAGCTGCTGGTGAGGACTGCCTGAGAGCCCCCCAGGACACCCAAACCCCTGGGATCGTGGTGCTGAAGTGACAGTAAGGAAAAGACGGAGCTGCTGGAAGTCCATCTGGCCACAGACCTGGACAAGGAAGGGAGCTGGGAAAATGTGGTGATTAGCAGGGAGCAGATGTTTTCAGATCTCCAGAGTTCTGTGGCTGATCTCTAAGGACTTTGGGTGCACAGAAAGGCTGACATGTTGTGTGTGATTTGACCTTCTTATCTCCGTCAGGAAAATGTCTGGAGGGAGACTGGAAAAGGCTTTGGGTGAGAGAAGAAGGACAAGGTAGTGACAGAGGGGCAGTGAGTCCTGCCTGCAGTCAGCCTGGGCCAGGCCAAGATCTTGTGGGTTCAATGTCTGTAAGGGGTGATGTAAAAGGAGACTGGGGAATACCTCTGGGGTGCCTGGGGTGGTTTGGAGGCCAGAGGTACTGCCTGGTGGAGCACCATGCCAGGATGTGTTGCCCAAGAGGGAGCAAGGAAAAGGACCATGGAAAGAGGAACAAGACAGAGCTGTCTCCCCTGTCCCAGCCTCCTCCAAGCTGGGAGAGCAACTGGGGGAGGAGGGTTTGGATGTGAGAGCTGACAGCTTGGAGGAGAAGGAGGACTATTGAGCCTGGTGTAACACCCCACTGGTGGGCAGCAGCAGCACAAGCTATAGGATGCTGATGGTTGGGGGTGCCATGGTGGGGAGGTGGTCTCCATGGCCATAACCAGCTCTGCCTAGGCTGTCAACACCTCTCCCTTTCTTCCCAGTTGGAGATTAACGACATGACCAAGTCGTGGGGCCTGGAGGTGGACCGGGTGGAGCTGAGCATGGAGGCTGTGCTGCAGCCACCCCGGGAGAACCTGGTGGGGCCTGCAGCCACTGTGCCACCAGTGCCGGGGCTGGAGGGGCTGGATGGCACCATTCAGCAGCTGGCTGCCCATTTCTTCAGCAGCACCCTGGCTCTGGTTGGCGGCGGGACTGGCGCTCCGGAGGCAGGTAACCAACCCTGGTCACTGCTCCTCTGCTGGGGGATGTCCCTCCTGCCAGGTGACCTTTGTGTGCATTGGCTGTCTGACAGAGGAGTCAAAGTCTGGGACATGTCATGCTCCTATAAGCACAGCACAGACAGGCTGGTAGCAGGGAGGAGAGAGAGGTCTGCCTTGGGCACAGCTCCATACAGCACGTGGCACAGCACCATTTCAACAAGACATTGGAGAAGGCACTGGGAAGGGCAGAAGCAGATCTGCAGAGCCCTGGGCTCAAGACCAACTCATATCTCAGTGTTTCTACCAGGCAAACTCAAGCCTGAGTTTCCCAAGAGTCACGTGGATTTTCTTCCAGAAACCCTGCACCGATTTGTGCCCCATTAACTTTTCAGGGATAATTTTCCTCGCCCAGGGAAGAGTAACCCATGGCAGACAGTGGAGCAGGAACTGGCAAGGCCAGTTGCCCTCTTCTTGATTAGCTGGAGACTTTCTGGATAAGTGGGTTTCTTTCCTCTGTTGACCTTCTCTGGTGGGTCTGGCTCACCACACAAAGGTGTCCCCTAATCTGTCCCGTTGTCCCCAGCAGACAGTGTGGAGACAGTGAACGAGGTGGAGCCTCCCACCACTCCCCTCCCTGCCCAGAGGAAGCCCAGTGCAGACGAGCTGCTCTCAGCAGTGGAGTCTGTCCTCTCTGAGGCCCTGGTCAGCCAGGTGGGAGCATCCTACCAGGTCAACATCGCCCTGTCCAGTGGCACCTGGAGCACCTACTTCATAGACCTCTCCTCAGGTCAGCACTCTTTGGGGTGGTTGTGTTGGAGGTGTGAGGGTGTTTTGCTCTTGTGCCCCCTTTGCATGCTGTGAACCCCACCAAACTCGGTGGTCAGAGGTCCCAAACCAAACCCCTTTGGTACCTCCACGAAAGCCACCCCGGGGCCCATCAGGCAAGCGACACAGTGTGGTGACCATGACCTTGAATCAACACTCCCTGGAAGTCCAAAGTATAATTTGTTCTGGGTTAAACCCATGAATTTTCCTTCAGAAATAGAGTATTGATGGAAAATTGACAGCAAGGTCTCATGGCTGGCCTGGAGACCTCAGGAGTTGTTGACTCTCGTAGGACACCAGCACAAGGGGGTAGTGATGGAGGGCCCCTGCCATGCTGGAGGATGTCCTTCCAGCACCCTAATGCATCCCTGCATGGTTGCCTGTGGTTTTCCTGGTGGTCATGGCAAAAGCAGGACGGGGCTTGGAGGTGGACCACTGTAAAGGGTATTGGTGGAGCAACACAAGAGAAATTCATCTCCATAAGGTGTAAGGACTCCTGTCTCCAAAGTCTCCCTGCCAGGAGGAGGCCCATCTGTCATCTGGCCCATCTCAAATCTCATTAAATGTGGGGGGGGGAAACACCAGCTGGATCAAGGCTGGATCCTGAACCCACTGTTTCTCCCTCTCCCACCCACCGTGTCCTACAGGCAGCGGGCAGATTGGCCGCGGCGTGCCCGAGGGCATTCCTGATGTCACTCTGCAAGTGTCGGAGAAGGACCTTCAGGACCTCTTTCTGGGTGACCTGCGCCCCCTGAGTGCCTACATGAGCGGGAGGCTGCAGGTGACGGGTGACCTGCACCTGGCCCTGAAGCTGGAGGAGCTCATCAAGGCGATGAAGCAGCGTAGATAGAGCGTGTGCGTGGGCGCGTGTCCGTGTGCTTGTGTCTCTGTCGGTGTGCCAAGGCGTGGGGACATTTGGGAGGACTGTGCTGTGTGGTGGGGGGCCTTGCCATGCTGGAGCTCCTGCTGCCCTTCCTGTGGAGGCTGTGGGAGTTGGGTGAACATCGGAGCAGGGAAACTGAGGCTGAGCTCCACTGCCCATCCTTGTCCTTGGCTTTCCCTCTGTTCTTCATCCCCTGCTTGCAACATTACGGGAACCAGCTGGCACCTCACCATGCGCCAGTTTGCTTCCAGTTTCGTAGAATCACAGACTGGTTTGGGTGGGAAGACCTTAAAGTTCCACCCCCTGCCATGGGCAGGGGACATCTCCAACCTGGCCTTGATTTCCTGGGCCAATGTGCCACCAGGGCACAGACCGATGTCCTGGTGTCCCCACAACCTGGTGCATGGCCAGGGATCTCACTGGAAGGGGTGTGAGCTGAGCAGTTGTGTGGAGGAGAGCTTGAGGACACTGTGGCTGAGGACAGGAGCCATGGGATGGGGTGGGCAGCCAAAACGGGCCACGAGGGCTGGCTGGACCAGGTTGGGATGCCACCAGCAGGCTGGAACTGGGATCCAGTGTGGCACCACTGATGGGATAACGGCACTTATGGGGAAGTAGCAGAGGTGGCAGTTTGGGGGATGACCTACCTTCCCCACACAGTGGTTTGTAATTAGTGATTGCGCTAATTTGTGCTTCAAGATCCTTTTGCGTGTGTGCTGTGAGGTGTGTCCATGGGGGCAGGGACTGGATATAGGCATATAGAGATATTTATTTATTTTGTAAGCTTCCTTTCTATCCACTCTCGATGGACAATAAACCTGGTGTGAATTCTGCAGGCAGATGTGGCTGCACCCCCCGTGCCTCAGTTTCCCCCAAGGCAGAGACCAGAGCATGGGAGGAGCTGCCAGTCAAGGAGTCTCGATTGTGATGAACACATGAAGTCCTGGAATGTGAGGAAGAGCTGGCAGGATGCTGTGTGGCCTCAGCTTCCCAACAGCACCCAACACCCCAGGGTGTCTCAGAGCTCCAGGCAGCTTTACCAGCTCCAGGATGTTCTGCTGGACCACTGGGACAAACCTGAGTGGTGTTGCTGTCCTGTCCCATACATGCGAGGGGCTCCTTACCAGAGGATGGGACAGGGGGAAAGAGAATTAACATGTTTCCAAAACTGAAATGTTTGGAACTGAAATGTTTCACGGCTGCAACCAGACTAAACCACCTGTTAAACATCTTCTTCAAAGCCTGGGGCTGGGTGGCTCCAGCCTGGGCCAGGCTTTGGGGATCCTCAGGGCATCCGGAGGAGTTGACAGTAGTGTCCTACCATGCCCTCTCCCTTTGGGGGTGCCAGGAAAGGTGAACCCCAAGTACTCCTGATGGCCCCCCATTTGTAGTGGTCCCCTCTTCCTGGCGGTCCCCCTTCTGTGGTGGTCCCCCAGTCATGGTGGTCCCCTTGATGCAGATGGCTGGGGATACCGATGCCCTGCACGAAGGAGCAGAGGACCAGAATACAGGACAAAGGGATGTGGAAATCCTCTCCAAGGTGGAGGGACAGTCCCCGAGCTCCCTCAGGGCCTGCAAAAGGCACCGAAACCGCCTTTGTCAGTGCCCGTCCGAAGCACAGCAGGGACGGGGACGCTGCTACACATTTCTGGGGGTGCTTCTCCTTGGGGGAGAAGCCTGTTGGCGGGGATCTTGGGGTTTCTTCCCTCCCGGATGGCCGGGAAGGGCTGAGCCGGCTGTGACTCAGCCCTTCCCGGGCGGGAAGCGGGGCTGTGAGCGGGCTCTCTGAGGCTCCGCCGCCCAGACACGGAGGAGGAGTTATTCCCGGAGCCGCAGAAACCGAAAGTACAGGCCGGGCAGGCAGCGCGGGCAGACGCGGGGATCCGTCCCTTCCCGCCCCGCCATGTCCCTGTCCGGCTCCCGAGCCCCGGTCGGTCCAGGGGGGATGCGGGAGGAATGCGGGCGGGACGCCGAGGGGGCTCCGGCCGCGTGGGGGGACCGGGGGTATCCAGCACACTGGGAAGTCCCTTGTCCCAGGGCGTGGGGATAGGGATGAGAGTTTGAGGTGTTTCTCCGCTTCCCGGTTTGGTGGGTGGTGGGGAGGATGGGGCTGGTCCCCAGTCCAGCCCCCCCGGCCCCGCCGAGAGAGGGAAGTTCGAGGCCAGAGGGATGGGCTGAAATGAGGGGGGCGGTGTTTGGGACGATGGTCCCCACCCCACCAGGGTGTCATCCGGGGGTCTTCAGCTCTTTCCTCAGTGCCCCCACCCTTTGATCTACCCCTCTTTAGCCCTCCCCAGCCCCATAGCTGGGGGGACTGTTTCCTCTTTGCTAGAGGGAGAGGGAGGGCTCAGCAGGGCCCTGTCCATCCGACCTCATCCCGGTGCACACGACACCTCTGTCCTGGGCATCACTGGTGGGAAGTGGTTACTCACTGGGTGCTCCAAGAAGGGTTTTTGGGTCACCTCTACCCCCAAGATGAGGTTTCAGAAGTTCTTAAAAACACTCCTCAGTGCTTATTCCTCACCCTCTCCCCCTCTCTCTCTCCCCAAGCTCCTAGAAGATGACTTCCAGTTCCTCCTTTGCGAGGGCTGCCAGCAGGAGTCGCCCAACCTCAAGCTCCTCACCTGCCTCCACACCTTGTGCGTGGGTTGCCTGAGCAAGAATGAGCCCGTCAGGCAGTGCCCTGTGTGCTGCACGGCCATCCCGCAGGCCGATGGCATTCCGGTCATGGACAACCTGCTCTTCACCAACCTGCAGGCCCGGCTGAGGGTCTACAAGCAGATGGTTGATGGAGTTGACTTGTTTTGTGACAACTGCACGAAATCTGGGGAGTTCTGGTGCTCCGAGTGCTTCGAGTTCCTCTGCACCAAGTGCTTCGAGGCCCACCAGCGCTACCTGAGGTGGGAGAGCCACAGAGCCAAGAGGGTGGTGGACATCAGGGCAGGGTCTGCAAATGACTTCCTGCAGGGAATCAGGAGGACTGGTGGCTTGTCCTGCTCCAACCCAGACCACAGGAACCAGCCTGTGAGGTAGGTCTGAGAAGGCTTCTCCTCACCTGGGTGGGTTCTTGTCATCTCTTTGGGTCCCATGATGGGACCCCCAGAGGGTGGTGGAGAATTGGAACAGGCTCCCCAGGGCAGTGGTCACGGCCCCAAGGCTGCCACAGCTCAAGGAGCGCTTGGACAATGCTCTCATGGTGGAATTGTTGGGGTGTCCTGTACAGGGCCTGGAGTTGCACTTTGATGATCCTTGTGGGTCCCTTCCAGCTCAGGAGATGCCATTCCATGAGTGTGTGTGCTATGGGTTTGTCAGGAGCCCGGGAGGAGGGAGGGCAGCAAGGGAGGGTTGAAGGCCCAGGCTGACGGCTGCCCCTGCAACTGGTGCAGTGAGGCAAAGCCCCTGTGCCTCAGTTTCCCTGGCACTGTCTCTCGGGCAGGGTCAATGGTGCCCAGGGCAGCAGAGCTGCTTTTGCCGCCCCAATGGTGTGCCGGCTCTGAAGGGCGCTCCTGTCCCCTGCCAGCATCTACTGCCAGCAGTGTGAGAAGGCGCTGTGCTGCTCGTGCGCGCTGCTGGACAACCAGCACTCGCAGTTCAGCGACATCTGCAGCGAGACCCAGCGCAGGCAGGAGGAGCTGAGCTCCATGGAGCGGGAGCTGCGGCGTCGCCGGAGCGGCTTTGAGGCCACCTACGCGTCCCTGCAGGGCGAGGCCGCCCGGCTGGAGGAGGCGCAGCGGGAGATGCGGGAGCTGATCCGTCAGCGCGTGGAGCAGCTGGTGCGGCTGATCCGTCAGGAGGAAGAGGAGCTGTTGGGGCTGGTGGAGGCGCGGCAGGAGCAGGGCCGTCGGGAGCTGGCGCGGGAGCTGCGGCACGTGGAGGGGGTGCTGCGGCGGATGGAGGCGGGCGAGAGGCTGGTGGAGAAGATGAGCCTGTACGCCACGGAGCAGGAGGTGATGGACATGCAGCCCTTCATCAAGGGCTCGCTGCAGGAGCTCCAGCGGCTGCAGCCACTGTCAGCTGGGAACCAAGCGGAGCCTGGGCCCTTTGCTGAGTGCAGGGCCAGGCTGCAGGCGCTGGTGGAGCGTGTCACGGAGCACCCAGGTGAGGAGGCACTTGGCCAGGTGGGTTGGGGAGGGGGGAACTGAAAGCAGAGATGAAGGTTATAACCCCTGTGTAGACCACATTCTCCATGGGTTTCTCATCTCCTTCAACATCGTGACTGATCCCATTCCCATCCCTGGAGGTGTTCAAGGCCAGGCTGGATGGAGCCCTGAGCAACCTGCTCTAGTGGAAGGTGTCCCTGCCCATGGCCTGCAGGTTGGAACCATTCTGATTCTATGACTTGAGAGAGCTGTGCCCCACCCAGCCTTTGCTCACGCCTTGAGCACATTCCAGCCTCTCCCAGGGATGGGATGTTGTTGTTGCACCCATCACTTCCAAAGCAATGGTGTCTCTTGCCCTTGCAGAGTATGGTGGGTGCTCCCCAAATACACTGGGGGAGAATGTGGGGGATCCCTTGGGATGAATCTGCTGTCTCCAGACCTGGGCTATGACCTCCTTGGCTTTCTATGGGTGTCCACCACTGAGCTTCCCAGGGCAAGCTCATGTGCCATGGATGGTCCATATGGGAGTCCAGGGGTGATGTCCTGGATGGTGCTTGGGGTTTCCTGGGGACAATCTGCACCCCCCCCCACTACTTGCATCTCCATTGCATGGTAGGCATCATGCCTCTGTTTCCCTTCTCCACCTCACTGAGTCATGCTCTGAGGACCCTTGGAGCCCTGACTATCTCCTCTTGCTTTCTTCATCCCTGCTTCCAGCAACAGGTACCTCCACTTCCCAGCACAACTCCCTGTCTGACGAGAGCACTGTGATCCTTGACCTCAAACATCCTGGGGAAGATTGCCAACCACAAGGAGATCTCCCCGTGGACCTGCTGGCCCATCACCAGCCCTGTGCCCCTGTGTCGGACCCCTCTGGTGGCCAAGGACACGTGTGTCCAAACCAGGGAGGGGGTATGTCCCCCACCCTACCCACAGCTCCAGCTCTTCTGATGCAGAGGGAGGAAGAAGCAGAGGAAGACTCAGGCTCAGCCCATGGGGACACTGTGCCTGTTCCCAGGAGCATCCAGGACTCTCTGGCCTCCCTGCAGGAAGGTTTTGGTGGCTGGGCCAGGTCTAACGTGCAGCAGGCAGACAAGCTCCTGAGGATGGGCACTCGCCTCCTGCAAGCTCAGCAGAGGGCAAACAGGCACCTAGTGGCCATGACCCGGGAGATCCGGGCCACGTCCCAGTCCCTGGCCACCATTGCCTCTGCTATGGGACCCCTGGTGCAGCCCGTGGCCTGCCCACAGAACCCCTCCACAGCAGACATGGACTGGCCATCCCTGCCCTCCAACTTGCTGGACTTATTCCCTTCCAGTACCCCACAGAAGGATGAACTGCCGGTCCCAGTGGCTGCCGTGGCCCTTTCCCCCAGAACACCCCCTCCTGCCACCCCCCCAGCCAGCCCAGCACGCTCCGAGACCCCCAGCCTAGAATCCGAGTGGGAATGCCCCAAATCAATGCTTTCCACCAGGGGCAAGCGGGGTGGGCAGCCCTGCAAGAGACTTCGGAAGCGGAGGAAGTGAGGGTCTGCAAAGCAGGACGTTTGCCATGGACTGTGGCTGCTTGGAAAACCCTCCAGAGGTCCCTGTGGAGACCTTTAGGGCTCCTTTTCACCTTGCCATGCCAATAAATCCTCCTGGGATGATCAGCGTGTTGGTCTTTTGCTGGGTTTGGGAAGGCAGCAGCTCCCCCATGAATGTGCCCTCACTGTGGCGTGGCAATACCTTGCTCAGGAACAGCGTGATTCCACTAATGTTCCTTTTTCTTTCCTTTCCAGCGTGTGGGACCTCCTGGCTGATGAGTCTGGGATGGGTGGGAGGGCAGCAAATCCATAAGGGAGAGCTGGATGGTGGAGGAATGGATGGTGGCTGGGTGGAATGGGCACCTCTCCAGCCCAGCCTGGAGCTGGCTCCTGGGTTTCAGCCTCAGTAGCATCTCCAGGAGGTGACCCTCTGAGGAGGTGCCCTCAGAGCCACCTGCACCTTCTGCAGAGGCTTTTCTTCAAGGCTGCTTGAGCTCTGGCTCTTGGCTGGGACTTTCCAAGATTTCACTGGAATGAGATCAGCCAAGCTGACAGGGCACAGGGCTGCAGGGCCAGGGTGAACTTTGTCCCTTGAAGGCACTTTTCTGGCTGAGGTGCCGACATCTCAGCACAAGACATGTCACTGCATGCACTGAAACAGCTCTCAGAGGCACAATGGTTTGCAAGTAATTTCCTACCCTGCCTTGCTTAAATCCCACATGCTGCCACAGACTGTGATGGATTTGGTGCCTCCCAACACATCTCCCACAAGAAGGGCAGAGTCCAACTCAAGCAGAAGTGACCTTTAACTGGCTCTGTTCTGGTGTCCAGTCTCATAGTGCATGAAGAAGAGCAACGAGACTGGTGAAGGGACTTGAACACAAGTCCTGTGAGGAGAGGCTCAGGGAGCTGGGGTTGTTCAGCCTGGAGAAGAGGAGGCTCAGGGGAGACCTCATCACACTCTACAACTCCCTGACAGGAGGTTGTAGCCAGGTGGGGGTTGGTCTCTTCTCCCAGGCAACCAGCAGTAAGATGAGAGGGCATGGTCTTAAGCTCTGCCAGGGGAGGTTTAGGTAGGATATTGGGAAGAAATTCTTTCCAGAGAGGGTAATCAGGCATTGGAATGGGCTGCCCAGGGAAGTGGTGGATTCTCCATCCCTGGAGGTGTTTAAGGTGAGACTGGATGTGGCATCAGTGCCATGGTCTGGGAACCATGATGGGGTTGGATCAAGGGCTGGACTTGATGATCTCGGAGGTCCTTTCCGACCTGGCTGTGATTCTATGATTCTATGATTCTATGAATGACTTGTCCAGCATCAGAAGTAACTTTGCATGGGACAAAGCTGAGGCTGAGGACCCCCAGGCTGCCCCCTGCATCTCCAGCATGGGATCAGAAGGGCTTATCCCTGCCTGCAAGCCCTGCCAAGCCTGGGAGCTTCTGGGTTGGACCAAGAAGATAAAGATGATTTATTGCCCCAGCTCAGGAAGGACAGGTTCCCATCTTCTCCTCTGCAGCCATTGAACCAAACAAAGTTTTCCTGACCTGTGTCAGGCAGAGAGGGAGCCTTGATTGATGTGGTTGGAGTGGCCACAACCCAGGAATGAGGATGTGGTTCTGGTGCCTCAGAGCAGCAGAGACCATCAGGGCAAGAGGACTTGCTTTGGGCAGGGACAGACCCATGTGGTCACCTTGTTCAGCTGTGCTTCGGTGGCAAAGGCCATCTCCATCCCTGACTGCTCACTGGGCTCCTCTTTGCACACTCAGGTGTCCATTTCCACCCCTGCAGAGAGGAGAAAGTCCAAATTGCAGTTGTCCTGATGTCGCTGGTGAAGGCGATGAAGGTTGAAGACAATGCCAATGAGTGGAACCATGCTCAGACCGGCTGTTCAGTGTCCCCCATGACTCCCACCAAGGACAGTCTGCTAGAAGACAGGCCAGGGGACAACACTGGGCTGCATGGCTCAGGTAAGTCACCTCTGGAGCAATAAATCCACAGGTAGGCTTTAGGGTGTGTAGGCATCGAGGTGGGACAGTTTGGAGCACCTCTGTGGAGCCCCTGGTCCCATAGTTTGCTTGAGGATGAGCACAGGATGACTCATGTATGTGAGACGTGCAGCTCCCCATGAGAAGGATGTTGGCTTGAAGACAAGGAAGAGAGCACCAAGAGGTCCTGTTTGCTCAGGGAGGTGCCGAGAAAGGCTGTCAGCCTGGTCCCTTGGGAACAACTCAAGTCGTTTCCCTTCAGATGGTTCTTAGCTCCCCTGCTGGCAGTTGTCCAGTTTGGATCATACTAAACCAGTCTGATTAAGCCACGGATGTCACCTAAAATTCGTGGGCATCTCACGTGGTTCTCAGCTGAGTGGGGAAGCAAAGCACTAAGCCATAAGCAAACATCCTTGTTTGAAGCCTCCCCAGTGTCACTTCAGTGGCCAAACTGCTTCTCCTCCTGATCTGTAGCCTCAAACCAGGCACGAGGAAGCTTGTAGGGTGATTCATCTGGATCCACCTGCCCCTGGAGTATTTGTCCCCCCATGGAGAGGACAACCTGCTGCTGAATCATCTCCACAAGGGTTGGACTGCCCACACACCATGGGGACCATTTTGCTCCAGGCCTAATAATTCTAATAATTATTAGAAATAATTATTATTTCTAATGTCAAATAGTTCTAATTTATTCCTGATAAGGAAATTATCACCCCCCTGCTCCATTCCCCAACAGCCCTGCTACAGAAGGACCCCATAACCTGGAGGTGGGAGATACAGGCTGAAGGTGGGACACATCTCTGTGTATCCTAACTGGTTGTTCCCAAAAGAACAGGGGGAAAAAACTGCAGTTGGCTGCACAGCAAGCTCAGCATCTTTCCTGTGAACAAGGGACCCAATCCAGCATCTTGTTAAATCCCACCACAGGGGTTCCACAGAGAATTGGGTCTCTCAGCTGTTTCCAGTTGCCCTGATGGGAGGTGTGCTGAGCATCACCTGGGGTGGGAGCGGCCGTGGGAGAGGTGGGCTATAAAAGCTCCCTGGGCAGCAGTTCTTCCTTGTGCTGGACCCTGGTAGACAGGATGAGGTCTGGAAGCAGCCTCGGGTTGGCTCTTTTGTGCTGGGTTTTTGGGGAGGTGGTTGCTTACGACCCCCTGGGTCTCTTTAGAGGGGAGGCAGAGCTATGGAGGTACGGAGGGGATCCTTCCCTGGGGCAGCCACGGACCTTCTCCCAGCCCTGGGCGTGGGTGGACATGTCCCAGCTCCAGGCCATGGCCCCACTGCACCCCGTGGCCGTGCAGTGCCAGGAGGCACAGCTGGTGGTCACAGTGCACAGGGACCTCTTTGGCACGGGGCGCCTGGTCAGGGCTGCGGATCTGAGCCTGGGGTCAGCCTCCTGCCTGCCCGTGGTCTGGAGCACCTCTGAGACCAGTGTGACCTTTGTGGCTGGGCTGCACGAGTGTGGCAGCACCCTCAGGGTAAGTTGTGAGAAGCTGGAGCCCTAAGGAGGGGGAGGGGCTGCCTCTTGGCTTGCACCCTGGTGCTTTGGGGTGCTGAGACTGAAAGGATTTGTGGTGTGGTTGGGCTCAGGGAAATGCTCCAAAGTTTCCCTGGAGGCTGAACACCTCGGTCAAGAGGAGCAGGAGCTGCGTTGTGTTGTCTGGGCTTGTGTGAGCAGGGAAGAGGCAGAGAAATAAGTTTTTTTTCTGATAAATACAGAGGTAGCTTAATACTCCAGGACTGTTCGTGCTGCTGCTGCCACCTCGAGGCTGGAGTGCGGAAAACCCGGTGTTGGGAGCCACTGCTCCTTATGGATACCTCAGGAAGCATCTGAGTGCTGTTTATGGGTTGTAGCATGAAGCTACTTCACCAAAAACTTAAATTTGAAGTGGTCTTTCCCCTGGGAGAGGCTTGGGGGGCCATGAGAATGAGCAAGTGCCCCCATCCAGCAGATGAAGTTACCCTGTGATATCCTGGGAGACAGACCTTCCTGTCTGTTGTTCCAGGGCATGGAAACTATAGAATGAAAATAAGAATCAGCTAGCGCATGTCTGCATCCACCTCTGCTGCTGGCCACAGGCTGTCATGGGCCAGGCTGGAGCAGATTCCCACCCCAGAGGATTCCTACATCAGGATGAGTGCCACTCTCCTGCCTCCAGCACAAATGCTGCTGGCTGAGGACCAGAAAAAATCTCAGTGCTGAGTCTCCAGTCTCAAATGTGCTGCGCTGTGTGTGTGTGTGGTCAAAGGAACAGGGCTCTTAATGACTGCATAATTGCCTCATCTTTCCCCAGGTGACCCCTGATTCTCTAATCTACACCACGAGCTTAAATTACAGCCCAGTTCTTCCCAGCAATCCTGTTGTCATCCGCACCAGCCCTGCCGTGGTTCCCATCGAGTGCCACTACCCCAGGTGAGCCAAGGCAAGTGAGCAACAAATAATCCCCTCTGCTGCCACAGAGAACTCACCTGTGGGCGTTTCTCCTCCCCAGGAGGGACAACGTGAGCAGCCATGGTGTCAAGCCCACGTGGGCACCCTTTCGTTATACCCTGTCCTCTGAGGAGAAGCTGCCTTTCTCCCTGCGCCTCATGAGTGGTAAGTTTGGGGTGAGGATCTCCTCTGGTGGCCATGATTCCAGTAGATGGTTCAGTTTTGGGCAGCCCCCAGGGCCTTGTGCCCGTTGGGGTTTCCCTGGGTGGAAACAGTGAAGCCCAAACCAGCTTCCCATTGAAGAGTGCCTGGTGACCTCTGTCCTTCCAGATGACTGGAGTGCTGAGAGAGCCTCTGCTGTATTTCAACTGGGAGAGGTCCTCCACTTCCAAGCTGGTGTTGATGCAGAGAACCATGTGCCTCTGAGGCTCTTTGTGGACAGTTGTGTGGCCACTCTGACCCCGGACAGGACCTCTTCTCCCCAGTATGCCTTCATTGAATTCAGTGGGTAAGAGCTGGCTGTGCCCTTGTTCAAAAGGACCTTTCTGCAGGTTTATGGAGATGTCTGACAGTGGGACCCTGCTGGCCCCTGTGTTTGTGTCCAGGTGCCTGGTGGATGGGCAGGTGGACGATGCCACCTCGACTTTTATATCCCCGAGACCCAGGCAAGATGTGCTTCATTTTGCAGTAGA